AGGTGGAGGTTGCTGTGAGTTGAGATCGTGCCATTGCACTCTAGCCTGGGCGACAACAATGAAACTCCATCTCAAAAATAAATATATAAAAAATAAATCTCTTCGAGTGTTTTACAGTGTTCGACTCTTTTTGTCAACACTTCCATGAAAATCTTTTATGATAGGGTCCTCCACTCTCTTGGTTTTTCTTCTCTTTCTTTTATGGACTCTGTCTCTGCCTCACCTCAGAATGCTGGTGTTCCACGGGGGCCACTCAGCCTTATCTCTGCAAGGTGACCCTCAGAGCACCACATATCTGCTGCCAGGTTTCCAGTCCAACCCCAGCTTCACCACTATTTGATATCTTGTTAGATTTGGGTGTCTAATAGGCGTCTCGAACTTAACATGTCCAAAATAGAACTCTGTCATTACTCCAGATCTGCTCTTCCTTATCTAACGGCACCGTCCTCTGCCTCTTTCCTCTTTTACCTCAGAGAGAGAGGGAGGGAGATGGGTGGTTATAGGTGTAATTTTAAGTAGAGGTCACAGAAGACCTTATTGAGAATGTGATTTTTGAGCTAATACTTGATGTGCAGATATGTGGGAAAGAGTATTTCCAGCTGAGGTGATGATTAATGCAAAGGTCTTAGGTGAGAGGATGCCTGGGTCCTAGATGAGAGGATGTTCAAGGAGGGTGATGAGGCTGACATCATGGGAGCAGTGGGTGAGGCAAGGTGAAAGAGGGGTCAGAGGAGTGGGGCGTGGGGCGGGGCAGGGCAGCTCGTGTGAGACCTGGTGGGCCACTGAAAAGCCTTTGGCTTTTACTGTGAGTGAGGTGGGGAGCCATTGGAGCTTTTAGCAGAGAAATGATTAGATCTGATCTGTAATTTAAAAGCATGTCTATGTGCTGCATTGAGAATAGACCGTGGAGGGAGTTGGCTTAGAAGCGGGAAGATCAGGTGGGTAGCGGTTACCATAGCCAGGCCAGTGATTCACAAACTTTGCTGCAATTGGAGTCAGCTGGAGAGCAGTGAAAAATCCCAGTACCCAGATCACACCCCACACCTGTTACATCAGAATATGAAGGGGTGGGAATCAGGCATTAGGATCTGTAAAAGATCCTGGGTTCTTCCATTGGGCAGGAAAGTTTAGGAACCATTGAATGAGGCCAGAGATTATTGTGACTAGAATCAGGGTAGCCAGCAGTAGAGGTGGTAAGAAGTGTTCAGATTCTGAATATAATTGGAAGATTTCAACAAGACTTCCTGACAGTTCAGATGTGGAATATAAAAGGCAGACAGCAACATCAAGTGTGACACCAAAGTTTTTGCGCCGAGGGACTGGAACAGTGTATGATCATTAGCTGAAATGGAGATTAGGTGGAGAGCTGCCTCAAGGGACTGGCGGGGGTTGCTTTGAACCCGTTGCATATTGGGATGACTAGTGAACAGGAAGACATGAAAGAGACTGACACTGTATATCAGTCAAAAGCTATTTACATGTGAGTGAAATTGAAAGCTATGAAACAGGGTGGCTGTGGAAAGGAATGACACCAGAGACAAAGCCTTAGAGTGTTTTATTAACAGGTTGAAGAGCAAGGGAATAACCAGCAAAGAAGACAGGGGTACTTCCAGGGAGGTGGGAGGAAAACTAGGAGCGGATATCTCAAAGGCCAATGTAGAAAGTTTGTCAAACAGAACGCAATGATCAATCAGGTCAAATGCTCCTGATGGCTCAAGGGAGATAAAGGTTGAAAATTGACCAGAGGCTGGGCGCGGTGGCTCAAGCCTGTAATCCCAGCACTTTGGGACGCCGAGGCGGGTGGATCACGAGGTCAAGAGATCGAGACCATCCTGGTCAACGTCTCTACTAAAAATACAAAAAAAATTAGCTGGGCATGGTGGTGTATGCCTGTAATCCCAGCTACTCAGGAGGCTGAGGCAGGAGAATTGCCTGAACTCAGGAGGCGGAGGTTGCGGTGAGCTGAGATCGTGCCATTGCACTCCAGCCTGGGTAACATGAATGAAACTCCGTCTCAAAAAAAAAAAAAAAAAAAGAAAGAAAATTGACCAGAATCACTGTGGACTTTGACAAGAACAGTTTTCATGGAATGGGAAGGGTGAAGTCTTGACTGGAATAGGTTTATATTAGCTTCAGAGGAAAGGAATTTGAGACAGTAAGTACAGACAACTCTTTTGAGGAGCTATGGGGGTTTGTTTGTTTGGAGACAAGGTCTTGCTCTGTCACCCAGGCTGGAGTGCAGTGGTGCAATCACAGCTCACTGCAGCCTGCACCTCCCAGGCTGAAGTGATCCTTCCATCTCAGCCCCTCAAGTAGCTGGGACTACAGGCATGTGCCACCATGCATGGCGAATTTTTATTTTTATTTTTTGTAGAGGTGGGGGTCTCCTTATGTTGCTGAGGCTGGTCTTGAACTCCTGGGCTCAAGTGATCCTCTCGTCTCAGCCTCCCAAAGTGCTAACACCATGCCTGGCCTAGGAGTTTTGTCATAAAGAAGTGCAGAGAAATGTACTAATACCTGGCAGGGAAATGGAGGTCCAGGGAAGTGTTTGTTAAAATGGAATAAATGACATCAAGTCTGTTCACCGATGGGAATAATCCAGTGAGGAGTAAAAGTTTGGTGAATTAAGAGAAGAGGAGGAAGTAGTCTATGTGGTCCTTCAGTTAGAGAGAGGGATGGAATCTGGTGCACAGAGAAGGGATTTGGCCTTTAATGGGCACATGGATAGTTCATTAGTAACAGGCTGGAAGGAAGAGCACCTGGTAGATGGTTGGGTGTGATAATGAGACTCTGTGGACGTTTTCATTGCTTCAGTGTTTTCAGTGAGTTCAATGGAAATTCAGCCTGAGAGAATGGAGAAACATCGAATAGGCTTAGCATTCAGGTATCCAATAGCAGGTGCCAAGGACTACCATAAGTAGTCTGGGCCTGGTGGCTTATGCCCATAATCCCAACATTTTGGAAGGCTGAGATGGGAGGATCACTTGAGCTCAGGAGTTTGAGACCAGCCTGGGTAACATAAGGAGACCTCATCTCTACTAAAGATATTCATATATATATATATATATATATATATGTACATATATATATGCCAAGTGTGGTGGCATGCCTGTAGTCCCAGCTGCTTGGGAGGCTGAGGTGGGAGGTCACTTAAGCCCAGGAGGTCCAGGTTGCAATGAGCCATAATCACACCACTATAGCCTGGGTGACAGAGTGAGACCCCGTGTAAAACAAACAAAAACGGAACCCAGGAAGCTTTATTTTATTCCACAGAGCCCTGAGACAGAGTCTCACTCTGTCATCCAGCTGGAGTGCAGTGGCTTTATCTTGGTCACCGCAACCTCTGCCTCCCAGGTTCAAGCCATTCTTCCACCTCAGCCTCCTAAATAGCTGGAATTACAGGCACACGCCACCACACCTAGCTAATTTTTGTATTTTTAATAGAAACGGGTTTTACCATGTTTGCCAGGTTGCTCTTGTACTCCTGACCTCAGGTGATCTGCCCACCTCGGCCTCCCAAAGTACTGGGATTACAGGTGTGAGCCACCGTGCCTGGCCCTAGGAAGCTTTAAAAATGCTCAAAGTTAATTTCATTAAGTAATTTAGTAGCATTAGCAGTTAATCGTTGAAGCTAAGAAATAGCCAGTAGAGGGCGAGCTAAGCACAGGTGACATGAATGGAAGCGTCAGGTGTGATTTTGCCTAGAGAGATGGGTATAAGACTCAGCACCCAGGATGGCATTCATGGTGACTTTCTTTGTTTTGAACTTTACCTTGGTGTTTCTATGGAGAAGGGACATCATCTTGCCCAAAGTTCAAAGCAGTTTTTAAGACCAGTCTAAACATTTATCTTCAATTCTTTTCCTGTTCTGACCTCTTTATCTTCTGAATCCCCTCTTTGGGCTAAATACATACCTGGAGTACTGAGGGTTGTCTTGGTGATGACTGAGTTGGCCTTTAATGGTAGTAGACACCCTGAAACTGACGGTTCAAGGAACAGATTTTTCCCTGTATTTGATGTGATGGTTTGGGTTTCCAGACACAGCAAAGTGAAGTGGGTTGTATTTTCGTCTCTCCTGGACAGCACTTTAACATTTTTGTTTTCTGGGTTTATTAAAAATATGAATTTAAAATTAGCTGGGTGTGATGGCCCATGGCTGTGGTCCCAGCTACCCAGGAGGCTGAGGCGGGAGGATGGCCTGAGTCCAGGAGGTCGAGGCTGCAGTGAGCCATGATTGTGCCACTGCACTCCAGCCTGAGTGACAGAGTAAGACCCTGTCTCTAAATAAATAAAGAAATAAAATTAAAATATATGGATTTAAAATGTAAATTCCAAAAAGAGATTTAAACAGTATATCACTCATTTCTACATCCAAACAATCCAATGAATCAAACATCGGATTCCCAAATGTTATTTTTGGTGAATTTGAAGACTTAGGGTCAAGAATAAGTTTGTATTTATTATCTCATACTATCCGTCTCTCCCAGTCACGTCTTCCAGCTGGGTGCCTCAAACCCAGTGCTTTGTCTCTCTTAGACCTGGGGCATTTTCGCCCATCTGCTCCAGTGAGCCGGGTCATCTGAACCGTGTTCACCCTCAGAGAAATGATGCTTCAGGGGGATGCGGTGATGCATTTGGAAAGCAAAAAATACAGATCTGCCTGCATGTGGCAACATAGCAGAGAAGGAAGCAAGATCCCCATTTCATCTATCATTTAGATTTTTTTTTCTTTTGAGAAGGAGTCTTGCTCTGTTACTCAGGCTGGAGTTCCGTGGTGTGATTTCAGCTCACTGCAATCTCCACCTTCCAGGCTCAAGCGATTCTCTGCCTCAGCCTCCGGCTCAGCTGGGATCATAGGCATGGGCCACCACGCCCAGCTAATCTTTTTGAATTTTTATTTGTTTTGTATTTTTAGTAGAAACGGGGTTTCACCATGCTGGCCAGGCTGCACTTGTACTCCTGACCTCAAGTCATCTGCCCGTCTCGGCCTCCCAAAGTGCAGGGATTACAGGTGTGAGCCACTGTGCCTGGCAAATTTAGATTTATGTGACAGGTGAAGACATCATAAATCAGCATCTATGGGAGGAGACCGTGGTAAATAGCCCCCCGACGGCAAGTCAGTTTCACTTCTGCTGTGTAAACGTGGCTTTGCGATTGTGGCCCCGAAGGGCTACGTACCCCAGCTGGTTTGAAATACCTGAACTAAGGAGAAGCTGCCATCATCTCCTTTGTGGACTCCTGTTACCAACGCAGAACTTTGTCTTCTTCTGTTCAGTGACATTTGGTAAGTTATTTCTTTTATGTAATTTATACTGTAACTTGTGGTTGATTTTTTTAAAGTGGACCTTAAGTTTTAGAACACTTTTAAGAGTTTACAGAAACATTGAGAAGATAGTTCAGAGCATTCCTATGTAATTCCCACCCAACTTCCCCTATTACATTAGCGTGGTACATTTATGACAACTGATGAACCAATACTGATATGTTATTATTAAACTGAAGGCTGTACTTGATTCAGATTCTTGGTTTTTATCTAATGTCTGTTTTCTACTGTTGAGTCCTATTCAGGATAGCACATTACATTTACCATGTTCCCTTAGGCTCCTCTTATCTGTAACATTGTGTCTCAGGCTCTCATTGTTTTTGAGGATATGACATTTTTGAGGGGTACTAGTTGGGTGTTTTGTAGGATTCTTCTCTATTGGCATCTGTTTGATGTTTTTCTTGTGATTAGACTGGAGTTATGTGTTTTGGGGAAGGAGTCATGGAGTTAAAGTGCTGTTCTCATCACGTCATATCAAGGGTCCATATCGTCAACATGAGTTAGGACTGTTGGTGTTGACCCTGGCCGCCTGGCGGAGGCGGTACTTGTCTGGTTTCTCTGCTGTAAAGTGACCCTTTCCCCACTCCAATCTCCGCAGTGTTTTCGTTGGAAAGAAGTTGCTACGCACAGCACACACTTACGGAGCAGGGAGTTCTGTTCACCCTCCCTGAGGGTGGAGTAGCTACATCAATTATTTGGAATTCTTCTGTATGGGACACCTGTCTCTCTTCTCTCTCATTTGACTTTCTTAAAGCAAGTTATTTCTTGAGGGAAAGTGAATTTTACTTTTCTGTTTGTCGAAGTGAATTTTGGGGTTCTTGTGTGTTTCTGAGGCCTCACTCTGTTACCTAGGCTGGAGTGCAGTGGTGTGAACATGGCTCACTGTAACCTTGACCTTCTGAGCTCAGGTAATAATCCTGCCTTAGCCTCCCGAGTAGCTGGGACTATAGATGCATGCTACCACACCTAGCTAATTAAAAAAAAATTTTTTTTTATAGAGATGAGGGTCTCACTTTGTTACCAAGGCTGGTGGTCTCAAACCTGGGCTCAAGGGATCCTCTCATCTCAACCTCTCAAAGTGCTGGGATTACTGGCATGAGTTACCATCTCAGACTGTTAAGTGAATTTTAAGGCTGTGAAAAAGACCAGCGGGCTAGAAATGGGGAGAATCAGGTTTTAGTTTGAATTTTACTGAACAGTGTGATGTTAGGCAAGTCATTCATCATTCCTCCCAAAAGAAAACAGCTATTGCAGAGATTGCTGACAGGTGCATGAATTCCTGATAAGGACGGAAATGTCATCTTATGCCTCATTAGCTTTAACAAGCTTGGGAGGGCAATATGAGAAGATTCAACTTCTGTTCACTGGAATCTGCTAAAGCACGTTATGAAAATATCCGCTTATTTTGCTTACTGCTTTACCTAGGGAAGAAAGTTGGAGAAAAACATGTCATCTCAAAGCCTCTCTTCTACCATGACTGCTTCCAGTGGCCACACTTCTAATGCTGAACACATTAACCGGTGTGTTATGCTGAAAACATATCTCTCTTCCTTTAGAGATTTGGAGGCCCTTGTTTGGCTTTTGCTTCTGAGCTAATGTGTTTAAATTGCTCCTTTGGGGCATCGCTCGTTTGAAAGAGCAGTGAATGGCCAGTAAGGTGCTTAGGAAATGCTGGAACACCATAGTCACTGAAACCTAAACCCAAACTCAAAGCGAAAGGAAATAAATTCTAAATTTCATCAACTTTCTTTCATCTCATTAACAGTCTCCTCTTCTTCCTTCTTTCATTCTTTAGCTTGCCTTCTTGTGAGAGCAAGAAAAAACTTGACCAGATTCTTTAAGGAAGATGGTAGAGTATCCTCAATGTGCTTGATCAATAGGGACAAGAATGGGAGCCAGGATCTCAGCTAAGGTGGCGTCTGTTTCCCAAAGACTAAACAGACACAGCCTGGTTGATACAACACTGACTTCTAGTTTAATGACCTTCACAAAATATTCGAAAAATAACATTTGTACAGATGCATAAGTGCCTGTAGAGCAATTCTGCATTCATTACCACATTTAATTCGCACAACAAACTTTTTTTTTTTTTTTTTTTTGAGATGGCGTCTCCCTCTGTTGCCCAGGCTGGAGTTCAGTGGTGCGATCTCGACTCACTGCAACCTTCTTTTTCCAAGTTCAAGTGATTCTCCTGCCCCAGCCTCCCAAGTAGCTGGGATTACAGGCACGCAGCACCACACTGGCTAATTTTTCTATCTTTAGTAGAGACGGAGTTTCACCATGTTGGCCAGGATGGTCTCAATCTCCTGACCTCAAGTGATCTGCCCACCTCGGCCTCCCAAAGTGCTGGGATTACAGGTGTGAGCCACTGCACCCCGCCAATGAACTCTTGATATAGTTTTTTTTTTTTTTAAACCATTACTATCCTATATGTGGAGAAATGGACACGCAGACAGATCAGGTGATTTGCTGTATGTTGCATTAAAGTTTGAACGCAGGAGCAAAAATCCAGGCATTCTGACTCCAAATCCCTAGTAATTTTCACTCCACCATTCACATCTGGAATGTGGAAGCCCTGTGTTTGCAGATACTGTGACCTTATTGTTCCCTGCTGCACCCCCAGTATCTAGAACAGTGCCTGGTGCACCATAGGTACTCACAAATATTTGTTGAATGAATAAATAAAGTAATAAATATACTTCCTGCTATCCTTAATATTATAGATAGATTTATCTATATATATAGATACATGTAATCCCAGCACTTTGGGAGGCCGAGGTGGGTGGATCACAAGGCCAGGAGTTCGAGACCAGCTTGACCAACATGGTGAAACCCCATCTCTACCACAAAAAAAAAAAAAATACAAAAAGTTAGCTGGCCATGGTAGCATGTACCTGTAATCCCAGCTACTCAGGAGGCTGAGGCAGGAGAATTGCTTGAACCCAGAAGGTGGAGGTTGCAGTGAGCTGAGATGACGCCACTGCACTCCAGCCTGGGCGACAGAGTGAGACTCCTTCTAAAAAAAAAAAAAAAATATATATATATATATATATATATGTATATATACACACACACACACACACACACACACACAAAAGATTCTATCTATCATCTATCTGTCTATCATCAGTCATTCAACAAATAATTTGTTTAGTGCTTGCTATGTACCAAGCACTTGCCATATTTATGAAAAGTAGAGAGTAAACCAATGCTAATGTCCAAAATGCTCCTTTGAGAAACTTTGCTAATTTAAGAATTTGATTTTTTTTAATATTATGCTACTTTGGAGGGGTAGAAGTGAAAGGAAAACAAGGTTGTGTTGGAAAGGGTTAATGATGTGAGGTGAGGCAGGGCAAAATGAGCTTCTGACTAAAGGAGAATAACTAGGGGAAAAGAAAAGGACATTTGTCCTTTGTAATAAACACATTGATTTTTGCATTGGACACAAAAAATACAGTGGAAATGTACTCCTCTCCTAGTCTCTCTCTTTCTGTCTCTGGTCTGTTTTACTTTTGAGGTGTCTTTGAGTTTCCAGGCAGGAAGGTTGGGCCTGGTGGCTCACGCCTGTAATCCTAACACTTTGGGAGGCTGAGGCAGGTTGATCACCTGAGGTCAGGAGTTTGAGGCCAGCCTGGCCAACATGGTGAAACCCCGTCTCTACTAAAGGTACAAATATTAGCTGGGTGTGGGGGCGGGTGCCAGTAATGCCAGCCACTTGGGAGGGTGGGGCAGGAGAATCGCTTGAACCTGGGAAGTGGAGGTTACGGTGAACTGAGCTCGTGTGCCACTGCACTTCAGTCTGGTGACAGAGCAAAAACTCTCTCCCCACTCATCAGCCTTCCTTCTCAGGAAATGCCTCTGCCATGCATTTGAGGGAACCCTCCTTTGTGGCCGCCACTCCCACCATTCCCCTACGCCTGAGCTCCAGAGGGCTTGTTTAAATAGTGCCTGTTAGAGGTTGCTGAATGTGATGAAAAGAACACTGAACTTGGAGTCAGGAAACCTGAGTTTCAGTCCTCATTGCCGTAACCTTTCTATGTGACCTTGGACAACTTTCTTCCCCTTCCTGGGCCTCAGGGTCTGCATTTGAGGAAGAAGGACCCTAGCATCTTTTTTTTTTTTTTTCCTGAGATGGAGTCTCCCTCCGTCACCCAGGCTGGAGTGCAGTGACACTATCTCGGCTCACTGCAACCTCCGCCTCTTGAGTTCAAGCGATTCGCCTGCCTCAGCCTCCTGAGTAGCTAGTGTTACAGGAGCACATGCCACCATGCCCAGCTAATTTTTGTATTTTTAGTAGAGACGGGTTTTCACTATGTTGGTCAGGCTGGTCTCGAACTCCTGACCTCGTGATCCACCTGCCTCAGCCTCCCAAAGTACTGGGATTACAGACGTGAGCCACTGTGCCCGGCCTGCATTCTTTATTTAATGCCATGATATGCAGCTGTTCTAGTATAGGAATGACCTGCATTTGTGTTGCTTCTGTGATTTTCCTGTAAGAAAAAAGATAATAAGCAAACACAAACAGAAGAAAAGGAGAGTGAGAGAAGGAAGAATAACTGTGAAAGTGATAATGATTTATCAGGAAACCGGCTCTGTGCAACCTTCCTATGTCTAGCTGAATGTGCAGAGTCTTATTTAAAAGATGCTATTCTTAGGTTCAGTGCACATGAATGTAAATAAGTACTAAAAGCAAGACTTCAGTGCTAACCGCATCGCTGAAATGTAAGTGAAATAAACCACACAGGCAGAACCTTGCCTGTCTGAGCAATAAATTTGGACAGTTTTCAATTGCTTCTCCACAGAAACCAAATTTTCACAATGGACACCACCATTCCTTCCTTTGGGGAGAAGTGGACTGCAGGATGGCTTCAAGCAGGACTAGACTCCTGTGGCTCATTTTCTCTTTAATACGATGCACTTGAAATCACAGTACTCTCAGTTGTTCTGCTCTTGGCCACACAGAAGCCCTAATCATTGGTACAGTCTCAGTTTCAATGACAAGTGACATTTTCCCAAGTTTTTTTTTTTTTTTTTTTTTTTTTTGAGATAGAGTCTTGCTCTGTCGCCCAGGCTGAAGTGCAATGGCGCGATCTCGGCTCACTGCAAACTCTGCCTCCTGGGTTCAAGCGATTCTCTTGCCTCAGTCCTGAGTAGCTGGGATTACAGGTGCACAGCACCACACCCAGCTAATTTTGTATTTTTAGTAGAGACAGGATTTCACCATGTTGGTCAGGCTGGTCTCAAACTTCTAACCTCAAGTGATCTGCCCGCCTCGGCCTCCCAAAATGCTGGAATTATAGGTGTGAGGCACTGTGCCCGGCCTGACATTTTCAAAGTGAGAATTTTTATCATTTTAGCACTAATCTAAATCAGAGAACACTCACACTTTAAGGACTAGTTCAGTCTTTGCCTTACACATGGGAAACCTGAGGCCCAGGGTCACCAAACGACTTGTCGGAAGCCCTCTAGCTTCATTGGTTGGTGGCAAAGCCGGAGCTGGAAGCTTCCACACCTGATTTCTTCCCTCCTCATCACTGAGTGCAACCCAATGACTATGTACTGAGTGTCTGGACCGAACTACCCCTATTTGCCTATTGGTTTTCTTTTTTAATTACTTGGCGTTTATTTTCTTCGTCCTCTGAGCCTTTTTGTAAATGATCCCTTTCCATCTGCCAGTGTTTTTGTTCGGTCATCAGATGATCCCTTCCCGCCAGTCTTTGAACACTGGCCAAAGGAATTTGAAGCCCAATCCACCACAGCCAAATCCACATCATTTCCGACCATTCCAAATTTCAGTTAGAGTTCACAAATGACTTGTATACGGAGGCCACAGATGCTGCTACGGAGGGAGATGTGTGCTTTTCTGTCTTCACTGCATGCAGCTAAACCCAACCCAACCCAACCCAACCCCAGCTAGTTATGTGCTAAGGGCCCTTGCTGGACACTGTGTACTGTTGATTTGGTAAACAAAGTCAAATGAACTAAAGTTCCTGTGATTCTGAAAGAAGCCAAAACCACTACCCATATTCCAGAATTCGGTAACTACAGCTGCTTCTGCTCTAAACTCAAAGCCCTTTGATTTTGGGCCTGTTAGTCCACAGCTCTCTCAATTGAAGGCCTTAATCTCAGTGTCTGTCTGACAGTGACTCTTATCAGCTTGGCCTATCAGTTCTTTTGCACTTTATCTGGCTCCACTGTTTCCTCCTAGAATTTGAATTCCAGCACACCAGCTGTTGGAGGTCGACCCTGGATTTTTCCATGGGTTGGGACATACATTTTCTTTTGCTTCCAGTGCTCACTGTGACAATATGATGAGGAACATTTTGTGTGAGTCACTCCTTGAGCTGCTCTCTTTAGAAAATGACAGATCTTTTTCCTAGGGGTAATCCTAGCTCTGTATCTAATTTTTTTTCTTTGATACGGGGTCCTGCTGTCACCCAGGCTGGAGTGCAGTGTTGCAATCATAGCTCACTGCAACCTTGAACTCCTGGGCTCAAGGGATTCTCCCACCTCAGCCTCCCAAATAGCCAGTACTACAGGTGTGTGTCACCACACCCAGCTGATTTTTTTTTTTTTTCTGGTAGTATCAGGGTTTCACTTGGTTGCCTAGGCTGGTCTCAAACTCCTGCGCTCAATCAATCCTCCTGCCTCAGCCTCCCAAAGTGCTGGGATTATAGATATGAGCCATCACACCCTACCTAAAATTATTGACACACATTATGGTATATTTACCTATTATATAGCCTATCTACCCTTTTTTTTGTGTGTGACAGAGTCTCACTCTGTTGCCCACGCTGGAGTGCAGTGGTGCTATCTCGGCTCACTGCAACCTTTGCCTCCTGGGTTCAGGCCATTCTCCTGCCTTAGCCTCCCAAGTAGCTGGGACTGTAAATGCCTGCCACCACGTCTGGATAATTTTTTGTATTTTTAGTAGAGACAGGGTTTCACCATGTTGGCTAGGCTGGTCTCAAACCCCTGACCTCATGATCCGCCCACCTCAGCCTCCCAAAGTGCTGGGATTACAGGCGTGATCCACCACCCCAGCCCATCTAGCCTTTTTTTTGTCATAACTCACCTAAGTTTTGATGTGTGTCAGCATTTCCGACTCAGTATTCCAAACCAGAAATTGCTTGTGCCTCCTGTGAAATTTAGTAACTTCATAGAGTACTTCCACTACCAGTTTTCCTGGTGAAAATTTCAAGTAGGAACATAGAATCTTGGGATTTGAAGAAGGCTTAAAGTTTATCTAGCCCAGAGTCATTATTAGGTGGTCATATTAATACAGGTGGAGACACCTCTGGAGGCAGAAAACTCACTGCTTCCTAAGGGAGCTCATTCCATTTTGGGCAACTCTGATTACTTGAGAATGTTAAGCCAAAATGCTTTCTTTACCCTCCACCTAATGGATCCAGTTCTACCCTCTGGGAACCCTAGAAAATATGCAGCATGTTTCTTTTATTTGCAGCTCTAAGGTAATGCATTTGAGGACCACCCTGAAGCCCCCTCCCCGTCGTCTGCCTTTACCTGTGTCTTCCCTTCCTCATGTCAAGTATTCCTTATCCCTGTGGAGAGTCCTCACTGGGAGTGCTGCTTCATTTGCATACTTTGCTATTTATTTCTACTCTTTGCTTTAATCTTTAAGCCAGGACTCTAACATATCAAAAAGGAATTCAGGGCCAGGTGCGGTGGCTCACGCTTATAATCCCAACACTTTGGGAGGCTGAGGCAGGTGGATCACTTGAGTCCAGGAGTTCAAGACCAGCCTGGCTAACGTGGTGAAACCTCGTCTCTACTAAAAATACAAAAATTAGCCAAGCGTGATGTTGCATGCCTCTAATCCCAGCTACTCGGGAGGCTGAGGCAGGAGAATCGCTTCCACCCAGGAGGTGGAGGTTGCAGTAAACTGAGATCATGCCATTGCACTCCAGTCTGGGTAACAGAAACAACACATTTAGCAAACAAACCACCAGACAGAAACAACACATTTAGCTCTTAAACATCCTTTAGTGTGAAATCTCATCAAAAGCTTCTCATCCGTTATGTGATCCATTTGTTCAGCGACCATTACAGTCAGTCATTGCCCTTCTCGATAGGAATGCAACCCTAAAAAAAAAAAAAAAAGAAAAATGCAGTCCTCTAACCTCAAGTGGTTGAACCAGGAGGAAGAGACAGAAACATAGCACAGTGTGTACAGAGACATAAACACAGTGTGTATGCGGCAGCCGGGACACAGGAGCAGAACGACTGAGAAGAGGACATCATTTCCCAGAGGAAGCACCAAAACAGGATTTTGAAGAAAGAGCAGGAATTCGCCTGGGAGAAGAAGGGAAGGGAACCCCACATGTGCTACAAGGCTCGGGTGTTCAATAGGATACCTGGCTCTCGAGAACTGTAAGGAGGTGGGATGGTCTGAGAGTGGCTGCAGGGCGGAGGAAGGGAGAGGGAAAGAGCTCCACCTAAGCCTCGGAACCCTGCGCTTAATAGGGGATCTCACCACATTCACCCAACACCCACCAATACACAAGCCGTTTAGTCAGTTACTATATGCAAACCAAACTAAGAGTAACTGATGAATGGTGATTTTAATTTGGGGTTAATGTGTAAATGAGGCCCAGTCTCCCTAAATAACTGCGTGTGGGTCTCGTGGGGGTTGACAGATCAGGAGGGATTTTGCATATTTCAGAAGGGCTGGTGACTCTGCTCTTGAAATACACAGCTGAGTGATCCAAACAGAAACATCAGATAACAGCCTGTAAGCACGTTGGGTGCTCCCCACTATGTTCCCCAAGTTCTTCTCTATGGGTGGAGACGAACCAGCTCCGGGCTAGCAGATTCCACCCTGTCTGCGCAGTGCCCACTGTTCTGAGCCTCCATGGGTCCAGTTTTCCCTCCATGTCCAAGTCCTATCTGCCGGTGGACTGGAGAGCAACTGGACCTGTCCCTTCTTCTTTTGGACGCTGCTCTCCTCTCCCTCCTGCAGACGCTCCGTGCGCCAGATGCATGTAGAGCCCAGGCGCGATGTCCTCCCAGTGGAAGTTGCGGTCGATGAGGAAGGTCCAGGGAACCAAGTCACTGCATCTCCCTCCTCAGTCAGCAGCCCCCGCAAAGCAACTCTGGGAAACTCTAGGAATATCTAATGTTCGCCCCTACCTCCCAGATTCCTGCTGAGACTTACTGGAACTAAGTATCACTGGCACAGGGTTCAAGGCTTGCCCCACTGGAGCACGGACACCACCCAAAGCAGCGAAGCTATGTAAATTCACCTTCACAGCTCTGGTCACTAGAGGCTTATTCTCATTTCAGCGTGAGTTACCCTAAAGCTCTCAGGTAATATTGGTTTAGACTCTTTTTTTTTTCTTACTCAAGACAGAGTCTCGCTTTGTTGTCCAGGCTGGAGTTCAGTGATTCCATCCTTGCTCACTGCAAATTCCTCCCCCCAGATCCAAGTGATTCTCCTGCCTCAGCCTCCTGAGTATCTGGTGCCAACCACCATACCCTGCTAATTTTTGTACTTTTAGTAGAGATGGGGTTTTACCATGTTGGCCAGTCTGGTCTTGAACTCCTGACCTCAAGTGATCCTACCACCTTGGCCTCCCAAAGTGCTAGGATTACAGGCGTGAGCCACCGCGCCCAGCCTAGACTCTTATAGATACAAGTATTACTGGAAACCAGTGTTCAAACACTGATCTTTGTCATATTTCCATTAAGCGGTGTATTAGGTGTTGTGAGAGATTCAGAGATAAGTTGGAAGGGGCAGAAACACCGCACAAGCAGATTTACACATCCTTAGGTTTTACCTTCTGTATTTTCAAATTCCGCTGTCCTACCTGTCTTTGTACTTTGTCTTCACAGGCTGGTTCTCCTAAGGGGAGAAGAGCAGGTGTTCACGTAACAAGGCATGGCAGAAACGAAGGATGTTTTCAGCCAGGAACCACATCCAGGTAACATCTCTGCAGCATCTCCTGAGGGAGGACATAGGAACTGATTACTGTTACAGGATAAATGGCAAATGGGTTGGGACTATATTTAACTGTTGCCATAGTTCCTTACTCTTTATTCAGAAGGTGCTTTCTTATGACAAGTTTAAATAGTGAACAAAGACCAGTGATTTCAACAGTAACTGAAATAGCCTATTCATAATGAGCTGAACTGTTTGGCCAGCAGTTAAATAAATGGGGCTTTCTTCCTTAAAAAAAATAACGTTCCAGGCTGGGCACAGTGGTTCATGTGTAATTCCAACAATTTGGGAGGCTGAGGCTGGTGGATCACCTGAGGTCAGGAGTTCGTGACCAGCCTGACCAACACAGTGAAACCTCATTTCCACCAAAAAGTACAAAAATGAGCAGGGTGTGGTGATGCACACCTGTAGTCCTGACTACTTGGGAGGCTGAGGCAGGAGAATTGCTTGAACCCGGGAGGTGGAGGTTGCAGTGAGCTGAGATTGCACCATTGCACTCCAGCCTGGGCCACAGAGCGAGACTCCATCTCAAAAATAATAATAATAATGTTCCAGAAAGTCATCTTGGACTCTCTGAAGGTAGCCTCTCTTATAAGTCCCCTGGAATGATGTTAGGTGGATTTCCTTAGAAGGAGAGGTATAGGTACCCTGGAGTGGCTCCTGGAAGGGTGAGTCACACTGGAGCCACTGTGGGTGGCTTCCCTCCCTCAGAAGGCTGGTACAGGGCCCCTGGAGCCAGTGAGGGAGCTTCCCTATAGGCAATGACAGGAATGTAACCCCCAGGTGCAGAAAACAGCGGTGCATCACAGACTTTGTGTTTTGAGGACTGAAGAAGATGCTTTTCCTCACTCCGAGAGGATAGATTCCCTTAGGGGCAAGGTGAAGCAGTGTTTCTGAGTTGTGGGGTGATGCTAGCATCTGAAACAAGCCTGATCAGGCATCCAGAAAGAACTACCACTTCAGGGTCCCCTCAGTTAAACTTAACCCTGAGGAATGGGTTAGTTTTTCTTGAAAGGTTTCTGGCAGTGTCTGGCAATGGTCTGAATCATGCCTGTAATCTCAGCAATCTGGAAAGCCAAGGCAGGAGGATCGCTTGAGCCCAGGAGTTCAAGACATGCCTGGGCAACATAGCAAGACTCCAGCTCTAAAAAAAACAGTTAGCCAGGCGTGGTGGTGAGTGCCTGTAGTCCCCACTACTTGGGAGCTGAGGTCAGAGGATTGCTTGAGCCAGGGAGGTTGAGGCTGCAGTGAGCCGTGATCCTGCCACTGCACTCCAGCCTGGGCAACAGTGGAGACCTCGACTCAAAAAAGGAAAAAAAAAAACCACGAAAAAAAGTCACCAATGACACTGCATCTCAGCTCAGGCTGTTGGGGGATCAGTTTTCAAAAGTGACACCTTGTGGTGGCAAGAAGGAACAGCAGCGGTGTGCTAGGGGACTGCCGTCATCCACCGGAGAGCCTTGGACAATTCAGTGAAGAATTCTGGAAAGGGCAGTTCGGTGAAGAATTCTGGAAAGGGCAAGGAGGTGCTTGAGCGATGAACAGGAATAATAAGATCTGTGATCCAAGTTCATGCTAGTTTATTTTGGTTACAATGTAATATAAATACTACCCTTACGTGGTATAAATCAAGATGGAACACTTTCTCCTTTCCGGATAGTTTTGCATTTTAGAAATTGAAGAAAAAGTTTTTAACCCATCTGTGTTGGACTTCCTAGCCTTTGCTTTAGTTGAGAAATAAGCTTCCAATCTCTTATCAGATTCGTTGTCAGTCCTTACAATGTTGAAATAAGGGCCCTGGATGTGTGAACTTAGCCTTGGTTTTATACACGTGGCTAGGAGATTAGGCAAACACTGTTTACCCAAAAGAGTTCCTGAGTGACAAAGTCCACGTCCCTTACACCCTTTCCACGGACAGGCCGTGGACACATCCCGGAGTTCTGAGAGGCTTTTTGGAGCACAGACGAAAGTGTTCTTCAGCCGGTAGCTGGCCTCAGGTCCTGACCAGCAGGCTCTCCTTTGTCTGCCTCTTCCTCTCCAGCTCCAGCCTTCGAGCCAGCACCCACTTGGTTCTAACGCAGTCCTCAAACTGACCCAGGGCGATTTCTTCAAGTGGAGCTCAATCACCAGTTAGTGTCTGAGAGAGAGGGGTCAGTTGAAGTGGAACCTCTCTCAGCTCTCAGTTGCTGCAGGACTGTGGAGCATGAGTTGGCAGAGACTCAGGCCTTGGCAATTAGCATGGCTCATGCTGGAATATTCTTCGGGGTGTGCGTTGGCTTCCATTGGTGCTGGAAGATGTAAGGTGGAACAGAGAGGGAAGGCTGCCTGGACTGTCTGGGAGATCTGTGTCTGGAGCCCCCAGGCAGAGACTGGGCCTTCTGTGTGGGCTGCCAACCTGGGGCATGTGTGACATTCCTTCTCTGTGGTTATTCAGCGAATGACCTTGGAATGTCACACTGAGTTTTGGAACCTCATGGCATCCCCGTGATTCTTGGGGATCAACTCTTTCGGATCACCTCATGGTCATTTTGTAAGGCACAGGCCAGCCCCAGGAGCACAGAGTTAGGACAAGTTTCAACAACCGTCGCCTCAAAGACCCACTTGCCCCTTTCTAGCCAGGTAAACACGACCAAGGGGTGTTTTCTTTTTTTCTTTCCTTCTTTATTTTTGAGTTGGAGTCTCACTCCATTGCCCAGGCTGGAGTGCGGTGGTGTGATTTTGTCTCACTGCAACCTCTACCTCCGGGTTTGAGCAATTCTCCTGCCTCAGCTTCCTGAGTAGCTGGGATTACAGGTAGCTATTTTTTGTATTTTAGTAGAGATGGGGTTTCACCATGTTGGCCAGGCTGGTCTTGAACTCCTGACCTCGTGATCTGCCCACCTCAGACTCCCAAAGTGCTGGGATTATAGGTGTGAGCCACTGCGCCCAGCCCCAAGGGGTGTTTTCTAAAATCCATCTAAAACACAGCATTTGGGTTACATCCCTTCCTTAGGCTGGTGGGCCCAATCAGCCCTTCACTTCATAACCAGGGAAACCACTTAAGTGAATGAATCTCAGCAGAGCTTCAAGGACCAGCTTCTAAGTGATTTCTGTTCTCACTTATGTAAGGAAGCAGCCGCTGATGTCTTCAAGTGAAGAAGGGAGAAAATTCCCCCAAATTTTGAAGGATTTCTGAATGGCAGCCATCCAAACTCTTGTAATGCACATGTTCTTTCTGGTCAGTTCTCTCATTTTACAGATGAAGAAATTGAGGCTCAAGGAAGAAGTGATTTTTCCTGGTCACTTGGCTCCTATTTTCCTGTGCATTCTGTTTCTGGTCAATTTCTTTCCTAGTCTAAAATGACCTCCCAGAGGCCTTTGCTCACTACGCCCTTGACCCTGTCTTGAGCTTCTCTCTACATAGTCGGTTGATTTCCTAAAACTTGGCGTTTGGTTAAGAATATCCAGCCACTTTGGCTTCTGAGGAGTTGTAAATAGAAACTTTTTATCTGGGGAGATAGATTGAACTCTACATTTTGTAACTAAATGCAGACAGTCTTGTGACTCTGAAAAGTAGAAACCAAGCTACAATGATCCAACAGTGTTTTTTCCCAAATGAGTTTATGGGCTGACAGAGCTGGAAGCAGTTCCTCTTTTTTGTTGTTGCTGTTTTTTTGTTTTGTTTGTTTTTTGTTTTTTTGAGACAGGGTCTTGCTGTCACCCAGGTTGGAGTGCAGTGGCAAAGTCACAGCCCACTGCATGCATCCTATAACTCCTGGGCTCAAGCGACCCTCCCGCCTCAGCCTCCTGAGTAGCTAGGACTGCAGGTGTGCACCACCACACCTGGCTAATTAAAAAAAGTTTTTTTTTTTTAAATTTTGGTAAGTTTGAGACCAGCCTGGGCAACATGGTGAAGCACTGTCTCTACAAAAATTTGCCAGGTGTGATGGTGTGTGCCTGTAGTCCCAGCTACTTTGGAGGCTGAGGTGGGAGGATCACTTGAGCCCGGGAGGTTGAGGCTACAGTTAGTCGTGATCATGCCACAGCACTCCAGCCCACTGGGCAACACAGTAAGACCCCTGTTGCTACCAAAAACAAAACCAACTTTTTTTTTAGACAAGGATCTTGCTGTGTTGCCCAGGCATGTCTTGAACTCCCGACCTTAAGCAATCCTCCCACCTTGGCCTCCCAGGCATGTAATCCCTCACGCTTCTGATTACAGGCATGAACCACTGCACCCAGCCAGTCTGTTAGACTCTTTGGATTGTGTGCTGATAGAAGTGAGGCAAGAACACCATGCCCCAACACCTACAATCTTATATAACCTCTGTTTATCTCTAGTTGAAGATGATTTATTTGAAGAACAAATGAGAAAAAGAAGGAAATCAGATCGAGACCAGCGGTTCCGAGCGTTTCCCTCCGTGGAGCAGAGCTCCCTTAAGGAATGTGAGTGCCCTGAAACTTGTTTTAACATGGTTCTGTTCTGTTCCAAGTATGTTAAAATACTCAAAGGAAGAGGAGGTTAAATTCTGAAGCTGGATGAAACATCTTCAAATGAACCTGTTTCGGAAAGAGAGGGCTCAGGGTCTCTGTAGCGGCATGCGATTAGACAATTTATCTCCACGCATCTCTGGGCAGGAGAGTTGCTATCAAAATAACTTCTTCCTGATTGGAACAAAGCCTGTGAAAATGATTAGGTTGGCGCTTCAGTGGGTGTCAACATGGTGTCCTTGGACTTCTTTTTTTTTTGAGATGGAGTCTCGCTCTGTCGCCAGGCTGGAGTGCAGTGGTGCGATCTCAGCTCACTGCAACCTCCGCTTCCCGGGTTCAAGTGATTCTCCTGCCTCAGCCTCCCGAGTAGTTGGGATTACACGCCACCACGCCCAGCCAATTTTTGTATTTTTAGTAGAGACAGGGTTTCACCATGTTGGCCAAGATGGTCTCGATCTCCTCGTGATCTGCGCACCTCGGCCTCCCAAAGTGCTGGGATTACAGGCGTGAGCCACCTCGCCCGGCTGCATTTTTTTCTTTTTATGACCACAGGCAGGAAGAATCCAGAAGGGGCTGAAGCCCGCTGCAAAGCATATCAAAACTTCTGTTACCAGAGTTTCAGAGCAGCCTGGCTCTTTGGAGATTTTCAGAACCAATGATCGCTGTCTCCTGTGAGCCACCATCTCTAGTTTAGGGTGAGATAACTTGCCATGTTGTTTAATCGGCTTTTCATTTCTTTTCTTTTCCTTCTCTGCAATGTTCAGCAGACACCTCCTTTGGAGACCTAGTACTTTATCTCTGCTGGGTACCCACAGGTGACATCTCTCTGTTAATTCTAGATGAAAAACTGGAATCACGGACCAGAAGGGTTTTGAGCAACACTTACCAGAAACTTATTCAGTCGGTTTTCCTGGATGACAGTGTCCCTAATGGAGTCAAGTATCTCATGTGAGTCTGAAATCCACAACCCTGAAATCTTACGTCAATGTCTTTCTTTAGGCGATTATAAGTGCTTTCCCTCAACAAGGAAAGGAAGTATTTAATTAGAAACTAAGCAAGGAAGGATACAGATTTCTGTAGCTATGGGATAGTTGCCATTCATTGAGCTGTCACTGTTAGGTAGTCTGCTAAGTGTTTTTATATATCAAATATCACTTAATCCATTCAACACTCCTATAAAGTAGGAGCTATATGATCACTTCCATTTTACTGAAATTGTGGCTCAGAGGGCCCCAGACTTGAACAAAGTCACACTGGTGGTCAGTGAGAGGGTCCAGAATTCACCCCAGGCTGTGTGAGTCTGGGCTCATGTTCCCAATTATTTGTGCCCTGCCAACATGAAGGACTTGAGTAGTGCTGAGGGTACAATTTCTCCTGCTCAGTAAGACTCTGTGTTGCTTCTAACACTATTAATACTTCACCTCTGTACACATGGTATTTATAGGGTCAAGAATATGCCATTTCTGTCCAGGTGCAGTGGCTGACACCTGTAATCTCAGCACTTTGAGAGGCCAAGGCGGGTGGACCACTTGGCAAATATGGCAAAACCCTGTCTCTACACAAAATACAAAAAAATTAGCCCGGCATCATGGAGCATGCCTGTAGTCCCAGCTACTTCAGAGGCTGAGGCGAGAAGGTCACTTGAGCCTAGGAGGTTGAGGCTGCAGTGAGCCATGATTGCACCACTGCACTCTAGCCTGGGTGACAAAGTGAGACCCTGTCTCAGACACATAAACAAACAAAAAAAGGAATATGCAGTTTCCAGTGAATACAAATAAAGATACCTCACATATATAGACATTACAGGGATTGTGTGGAATTATTATTACCAAATATTTTTGCATAATCTCACTTGATTCCCAGGCAACTCTGTGTAGTAAACAGGGATTGATATTCTCCTTTGACAGAGGAGAGAGCTTGTGGTGACCTGCCCAGGATTAGAATTCAGTTCCTTTGCATTCTGTTTCAATGCTCTTCAGTCTAAACTTTGATGATCATGACATTTTAAAATTCATCCAGAAATAGGCTCCTTGCCTTGATTGAAAAGCCGACAGTGGACCCAATCTACATTGGGTTGTTTGGAAGCACCGGGGCTGGGAAGAGCTCCCTGATCAATGCCATCATCCAGCAAGCAATGTTTCTACCAGTGTCTGGAGAAAGCATATGTACTTCCTGCGTTGTACAAGTGAGCTCCGGCTGCTGTGTACAGTATGAGGCCAAAATCCATCTTCTCTCTGACCAAGTAAGCGTTCCCTCCCCTTCCATCCCCTCCCCTCCCTTCCTCTCCCTCTCCTCTCTTCATCCTTTCTCTTCCCTCCATCTCTCCCTCCTTTCCTTCTTCCTTCCCTTCCTTTTTCCCTTCCTTTCCTTCCCTTCCTTCTCACTGTCTCTCAGAGACATTATATTCCTTGCAAATACAGCTCACGCCTTTGTTGAATGAAAAGAGCTCATTCCAGGAGAAAGTCAATCTAGTGGGCTGGAGGGGTCTGGCCTGGTCCTACATCGTTATGAGACTTTGGGCAAACCATTTCCCTCTTCAAGAACCGAAGTAGATGTCCTAGATTTTCTGAATATGCAGCCTCCCGGTCTTCCACAGGGAGCGACGGACCCCTCTGTTTGTCGGTGTTCTCTGTATCTGTGTCAAGAGGGGCTTGGCCCTACTCTGCCTTGGCAGGAGTGGAGGGAGGAGCTGAAGAACCTGACTAAACTCCTGCACAGGATGGAGGAGCTGGGTGGAGAGGAGACGGATGCGTGGAACAGGGATGAGGCAGCGGAGGAAGCCACCTGGAAGCTACAGATGATTTATGGAAACGGGGCGGAAAGTAAGAACTATGAGGAGTTACTGAAGGCGAAGCCCAAAGGGAAGATCCCCACCTGCAGAATCATCACCCTCAAGGCGGAAGAGGTAGCGTCACGTTCATACTTTCCTTGATGTCATCCTGGGTCTCAAGTCTAACAGTTGAATCTGCTCAGGGGACTGGCTCCCGGTATAGTGTTTGTATGAAATAAGAAATAAGTTGCTACCCAAATTAGAAGTGTCCATAGCCCAAGTTATCCTTATTATTTATGGCTATCAAGTGGGAGTTTTTTATGTTAATGGAGGAGTTACTGTGTACAAAAGAAGACTATTTACAGTTACTTGAGAATAATTAGGGATACTCTGGCCTGCCAGTGATTTTTAAAGAAGGTTTATAGTGGCTTAAACAAACAGGGATTGATTCCTTTTCTCATGTAAGAGGTCTGGGGTCAGTAGGGGTCAGGTTGGTCTAGTGGCCCAGCAAGGTCAAGATCAGCCTCTCTGGTTCCCCTGGTCTTCCGCCACCCCCGCTATCATGAGATGGCTCCTGGAGGGCTAGACTTCACACTAGCCTACTGGAAGGAAAAAGTGGATAAAAAGTTGGCATCAGCCACATCTGCCCTTTCATCAGAAAATAAAAGCTTTCCCAGAAATACCTCTGACAAATTTCCATGTAGATTTCCGAGTTCTGAATTGAGCCACATGGTCCTTCCGGGCTGAAAGGGAGTCCAGAGAAATTGAAAAACAGACTTGTCACGATTGCCTTAGACCTGTCTCACTGCACTGCCTCCCAGTCAGACAGAAAATCAGGATTCCACTGGCGTAAAAGAGGGACAGGATGGAGATTGGACGGGCAACTAGTAGAACAGTAATCTTGTTTTCATAAACAGTTTTCATTTTAAGATTTCATTTCTGAATTAAAACAAAATATTCGCGGAACTGACATTCAATTTAGGAAAGCTATACATTTAAAAACCTAGTTTTTCTTATATCTCTCACCTTTAAATACACCTTTAAAATATTGCTATTCTATTTTTAAATCTAGTGATTATTAGTAAAACGGGTACCATGTACGTGTCCTAAAGTTTAATGTTCAATTATCTCTTGATTAACAAAGCAAATCTCCCTTAACGATTTAATGCTACTTACATATCAATCACACTTCTTTAGGCTTTTTGCATTACAGTTAAAGTTCAATATATTTGAGTCTCTCAAAATGTTTTAAATACTTGATTAGGCACACTTAGAAATCAAATGAATGAAACCTTTTCAAAGCACTTTGCCATCTCTTATATATCTGGAAAATCTAACAAATATAGTGCCCATTTCTTATAGTTTTAAGATGAATATTACTATTAAAATGATTACACTTCTAATATCTGAAAGATAGATTGAGCATATGTAAGAAACACAATGATTACAAGACTAGTTACTTTATCTGAATACACACAACTTACACAAGGGTATCAATGTCTTTGCCAACTCTGTGTTTGGAAATACTCCTTCCCAGCATCATAAATTTACCCACTGAAACAAGGTCAGCAGAATCACTATCTCAATGAGTGAGCTTACAAATTCAGGGTTTCCACTGGAGATTCTAGAATCTGAGTTTGCCTTCTCTAATGATGTTTGCCCAGAACTAGTTCACGGGGCTGAACCCTCTTGTAGAAAGGGGCTTTTCAAGCCCATGCCTTTTCCTGGGCTTCTCTCTTATGATATCTGCTCTATTTTAAAATGACAATATCTTAAAGAGCTTTTATTTCCTTTTTTGTGGTTTATCATTTGGTTGATATTGATGAAATCTGTTACCTGTTACCCAGATTGTAACAAATCCAGCGATTTAATTTAAACTCTCTTAAGAATTGACATTCTAGGCTGGGTGCAGTGGCTCATGCCTGTAATCCCAGAACTTTGGGAGGCCGAGGCATGTGGATCACCTGAGGTCGGGAGTTTGAGACCAGCCTGAGCAACATGGAGAAACCCCATCTCTACTAAAAATACAAAATTAGCTGGGCATGGTAGCATGTGCCTGTAATCCCAGCTACTCAGGAGGCTGAGGCAGGAGAATCACTTGAACCTGGGAGGCAGAAGTTGTGCTGACCCGAGATTGCACCATTGCACTCTAGCCTGGGCAGCAAGAGTGAAACTCCCTCTCTCTCTGTCTCTGTCTCTGTCTCTGTCTCTCTCTCTCTCTCTCTCTCTCTCTCTCT